AGCAGAAAGACTGAGAGACACTTGAAAAAACTTCTCCGCATGTGGGAATCGAACGCAAGTCTTCTGGGGGTGGCAGCGAAATGCCTAACCGCTACTACTACTGTGCACTTGTATATATGATGCATGTATGTCTTACTTTATCCTGGCATGAAAACCAAATGACCGTTATTATGTTGTTGTACTTTTCTTTCTTCAAACAAACATGAAAAAAGCAAGCACGAATTCTAGTATCATAGTAGAGGTTGACATTTCCCCCCTTTTCCATTCTCATAGCATATGTGGTTCGACGTGGTGGAAACAGGCTCTCGTCATATTTTGGGCATATGGAGTTGATGGCATCATCTTAAAGCCTGTACATTTTCCTTGCTTTGGGCGAAAACAATATCAATTTATGTTGAATAGAAGTCGAGATATGTGTGATTGAAGGAGGTGAGGGTCATCTCATTTCAGACATAAAATTAGCGCGAAAATGGCCGCCAAAGTTGAGTTATTTCTTTAGCTTTGAGAGTCCGTGGAAACTTTACACTTCATCTGCCTTTACTCAACGTTTTTCAGTAAAATCCATACAGAAATGTGCTCTTTTATGGACATGAAAGGTGTTGAATCAAAAAACAAAAATTCAATAAAAATTTCCCAAACCTGCGTAAAAATGCCAATTTCTTGACTTTCATTATTTTGACGAGCGCCTGATTTCACAACGCTGCCTCACATATTATTTATTGCCTGTTATGTCATATAATGTCATTATTTGAGGAGCGTTAGTAGTGCCGTTTGATTGCTCCCAAGGCAGTTTTAGTGCTTGGTGTATGGCGGATAAAGTAAATAATTCATCTATAGCCAGGAGAGAAAAGCTGTTTGATTACCGAGTCTCGTTGGACTTTAATACCGGAGCTCATAAAACCGAGTTTGCAGGGACAGCTGTAAACAGTTCAGTTGCTCATGCTGTCATGCAGGGCTATGTCGCGTATGGCCCTGGTTTGAAATCTCAATGGGATGTTCTTGTTGAGCCTATGTTGTTGTTGTTTTTCTTTTTGTGTGTTTTTTTGTTAGTTGTTGTTTTTTTTCCCTTTTTACTCTGGGTGG